CATCCCCACACTCTTTCAGCCTCGAAATCCTATTCACGGCCTTTCTTAGGGAGCGTAAACTCCCAATTTGCTAGTTGCCGATAACAACACCATTCTCAGCAGCATCGCCCGGATATTTGTTATCCGGATTCCGAGATGGTTCAGCAACATCATTTGGGGCAGCGTTCTTCAGTTGGTCTGCATACTCCTGCAGATCCAATCGGGCAAGTTCCCAGGACCCGGTATCCTTTCGAACGTACTGTACACCCTTTTGCTTGCACAACTCCTGGACTCGAGAAAAGTGCAGGGACATGTAAAAGTCTTGCCTCATCTTCATGTATGCAGCAAGTCCATCTTCGTCAGCGTCCTCCTCATGGAATGGCTTCTGTGTGAGGTCGACATCCTCAGAGTCTTCAAGCTCAGGGCCTGGCTCGGGAGCAGGCTCGGGGGATTCCGCACGTTGCTTGTTTCGCTGGCCAGCCAGTCCTTGCATGAGTTCAGACAGAAGCTTCTTCACTTCAGACAGGTTACTACTCTTCTCCAGTTTTTGCGCCAGATTCTGTTTGACACCATCCTCGTCGCCGTCTTCGTCAGACGAGATCTCAACCCTTCGCGTTCTTGTCTTCGTACTTCCCTTCGATCGTGCCTTCGCAGCATTGTCCTTCGGAGTGACGCCCGCATGAGGTGYTGGCATCATAGGTGCAGCCATTGTTCTCTTTCTTTTCTCACTACCACTTTCTTTGGCTTTACCACGTACAACCTTTTCAAGTGCTGCTTTTTCCGCCCGCAGCCTTACAAGCTCCTCCTCCTCTGCTGCCGCGACACTTGCCTTGGCGTCAACCTCCTCCAGTTTCTTCGTAATGAGTTCAGAGAGTCCCCAAGAGTCAAGGAAACCCAAGCCTTCATTTCGTCACTCCTCTCGTTGGAGCGTAGTTGGCCGGCGTGGCTTTCACCCGAATTCCCTAAAATCTGAATGCCACCTCCTCGCCTGTTCCCGACAATCCTCTTATTTGCCTCGTCAATCACCTTGGTAGTTTTAATCTCCTCCAACAGGTCCATGTATTCCTTTGTGAAATAAGCTCGGTTTCCGGGACCGGGGAAAGCATTCGCTGAAGGTCCCTTCACTGCTGACATCGGTCGGTTTTCACCAGAGTGCGACTGGTTACTCATCTGCAGATGACCATTAGCCGGCGGAATTGTCGGGATGGCAGCTAGAGGAGCTACAACAGGAGGTTGCATCATGATGGGCTGAGCTGCTTGTGCCATTGGTACTTGCGGCGGAGGCATCACCCATGGTCCTATAACTTGCCATGGTTCGGGCCATGCCGACACATTCCATGGTGCAGCAGGCTGCTGAGCTTGATACCCAACATTCCCACCACCTGGTCCAGAACTAGGTGGAGGATTCGGATGCTGCATGCTCGGACCGTACATTCTAGACGGAGGCGGGTTATACTGCCCGTTCGACTGCCCATTGCCGCTCATATTCGACCAGTATCGTCCGCAGTTCGACCAACGTCCCCTTCTTGGTGCCGCCCTAGCGTTCCTTCGCCCCGTACATGCGTCTTAATACCGATAACACGAACAGGATACCACCGATCCCAATGCTCCACRTKACCTTACTGTCTCTCTTTCTMGTGTCGATGACCCAGCTCGACGATCTCAGCATCCGTTGTGCTCGAGGATCTGGCGCGGCGGCTCCCCACCCGCTCCGTTATAYGCGACTTCGATCCAACAGTCAACTCGTCAAAACTCCCACGGCTGCTCCACCCTTCTGACACCGTCCGCATGACCAACACGACCGGCCTTGTGGATCTCACTCATGGAAGTAGAAATATACGTGGTCGTACGATACGCAGGATCGGACATACCCCGATCATGTCAATCCATGATGATAAAAGCAGCACGAATTCGCGTATGAATCACTTTGGAGAACAATTAGCCGTATCAAAATCGTAATACAACACCAGAACATATGAGAGTATGAAAATGTGAAAGTATGAAAGTATGAAAAGTATGGAAAGTGTGAAAGTATGGAAAGATTAATAAAATGAATGAAGTGCGATCTCGCAAACGAGCAGTCGTACACGAGATTTGGCACCTCAGGCTCGTTCCCAAGCCACGGCAAGGTCGACCCTGAGGTTGTACGATATCAAGCATAAAACACAATAATAATCCAGAAGAAGATGATGTGAGTTTTAATATCATGATGTCACCAACTCCTTCCCCACTCACCCTGATCTAACACCATCAGGGAATTTTCAACCCTTCTACTCATTTGTCACTCAAGTTGAGGAAAAGCATTGATCCTACTGCTTTTATACTAGTACATCCTGCTTTACGCCTTATCGCACTCCGTTAGTTGGGCCCAAATTCAGCCATCTCAAAATGCTTGGGCCCTGCGCGGGCCATACAAGTCCCC